GCACTGCATTACATTCAGTGGAGTACAGGGGAGACATCCAGAGTCTTTTAGACCTTGGATGACTCAATAAAGAGAACCTGTCACCAAAAAGCTTTTTGTCTTCTATGTGATTAAGTAAAAAAAAAAATGTTTTTTTCAAATTGTAAAAAATTAAAGTTACAGCAAAGCACATAACATCCCCTCATTAAAAAAATCTGAGGCCCCCCCACCCCCACATATACACAGGTAAAGGCACACACTGGGGCGTATACACATGAAAACGTTGATTGCAATACACATTACATATTGCAGAGCATGCCAGAATGACAGCAATAATTTTAGCAGGAGACATCCTCTGTAATACTATACTTATCACCTATAAGGGGCTTTATCTGCTCTATAGCAGATATACTTCTACAGGGCGGCACCTGTGCGCAAAATTATTATTATACAGTATTTATATAGCGCCAAAAGGTTTGGTCAGCGCTGTACATTATAGTGGGGGACAGAACATGAGACAATACAGTAACAAAACAATACTCGAGGGGTTCGGGGGCCCTGCTCTTTGGAACTTACAATCTAGGAGATCACGTATATATACGTAATTTACCATTTCCGGGTAGGGGGCAGAAGCAAGCTATGCCTGGTGATTACCGAGCACCTCCAATGGGGAGGAAGATTGTTTTGTTTACAAAACTGACACTATGGTTTTCGGTCCGTCCTTTCTGCGTTGGATCTCAGCCTTATATACATCCCCACAGGCTAAACTTAAATATTACGGCTTTGAATCCTCGACCTTTCCGATCTGCAGGGGAACCAGACAAGGCTGCCCGCTTTCTCCATTAGTATTTATTCTGGCCTTGGAACCATTGGCGGAGGTCGTCTGAACTCACCCAGATGTCAAGGGACGAGATGTGGTGGCCTCGCAACATAAAATTTCATTGTTTGCTGATGATATACTATTGACACTAATGAACCCGGAAGTCACCTTACCGAATTTGATCTCAGTCCTGGACACTTTTGCTTCCCTTTCGGGCCTTTATGTTAGTCCTGCCAAATCTAACGCTATGCCAGAAACTCTCCCTCCACCACTATTAGCGACTCTAAAAAATTAGTTTTCCTTTCAATGGCTCCCAGCGCTGCCATATCTGGGTGTCAGACTCACTCCATTCTACGAGGGACTTTACCAAGCCAATTTCCCTTCATTATTTAAAGAATTGACAGATATGTTATCTTCATGGGATCATTTCCCGTTATCCTGGTTTGGCAGAATTAACTCGATTCGAATGACTTATATTCCCAAATTACTATACGTATTTCGTGTCTTGCCAGTTCCTGTTCCCCTACACATCTTTCGTATTCACCGACGTAAACTCCTGACATTTATCTGGAATCTTTGTGTCCTAGAATTACAAACAGATTTTATTTGCCCATAAGATTTATGGAGGTCTATCCATTCCAAACCTTCATGCCTACTATCTGGCAGCTCATATCGCCCCCTCTTTCCCACCTCCATGAATCCCAAAATATTCCTCTGTGGGCCACAATAGATCTGATAGGATCCGCACTCAACGCCACTTCCATCTCTAAGGTGGCTCCCCGCTTCTCATCGTCCTATGCCCTTCAGTCCCACATTAACACACACACTCCGACTATGGGATTCCATCAAGTATTCGGCAGGTCTCATTTTATCATGTTCCCTTAATGCGTCTTCTCCATAATCCGTTTTTTCCCTTGGTCTTGACAACCCAGGACAATTCACGTGATGGGAGGCCCATGGTTTCAATGACGTTCACTCTTTACTCCCCCTTACTAGGATTCTCACCTTTGACACCCTTCGGTCGTCCCATAACATCCCACTGTGGGAACATTTTTGCTACCTTCAACTTCGCCATTTTATCACTACAATACTACATGCACAACCCAAGCCGTACAGATTGACTCCTTTTGAAAGGCTCTGTAGAACCAGACTTCATTCTCCGGCCTGATATCACTGATCTATTCTTCCATTAACTCCTATATAAAGCCCTCACTACAACCCTATCACCATCAATGGCAAAATGAATTGGGGGGTCGACTTGACCAGCAGGATTGGCAAATCATGACCCAAATGTTATCCAAATGCTCGAAGAATGTCCTTATTTTAGAAAATGCCTATAAAATCCTCTATAGGTGGTACTATACACCAGCTTAAATGGCCCGTTTCATCCCATCTTATTCACCAAATTGCTTCTGGGGGTTGTTAACAGATCGGTACCATGGCCCACATTTGGTGGTCCTGTCCCAAGGTACTTAGACTCTGGGTCAGGGTATATGCCCTCCTTCGCACTGATTCATGCAAATATTAAATGCAACCCTAATGAGGCGCTTTTATTTAAACCAATTGCAGATCTACTCTGCCCCAAGTGACAATTGGCATCATATTTATTCACAGCCACAAATTGACAATTGTGAAAGCATGGAAGACCCCCATCCTCAGTTTCGAAGCAGTCAAAAATTGGATGAACTTTCTAATGGTTAATGAGAAGTTAACAGCTATACTGCTAGACACACATGATAAGTTCCTCTGGATTTGGCAACCTTGGATTAACATAGCCCAGCCATCTAGATTTGACAAAGCCCTTCTGTCGCTTTAATGACCTTCTACTGTGATCCCCCAGGACCCTTTTTCCTTTTTCCTTCATTTTTTCTCATCTGCTCTTCTTTTTCATTCTGTAATTGAGCTGAATATGATTTTTCTTTTTGGTACCTGAAGTGTTTTGTATAACCGCTGGACCCATTCTAGGCCCAAAGGATTGGTGTGTATCCACACTTTTTTTATGGGGTTGTACATAACGCTTTGCATGGTGTTCTCATGACTGCCTACGGATTCAAACTGATGAATCTTAGGCCTTCGTATGCTATTCAATACTGTACTTTGTTATGTATCTTATCATTTAATTACACATTGTAATCACATTTTTTGTTTGCTTCTGTAACTCGTTTATTATGCTTTATGTTAACTAGAGGAACTGTATGTTTATTTTCTCTTCACGGTTATTTCTACCTTTGGATTTTTCTGATGACTTGACACTATCAATAAACTCCATTGTAAAAGAAACATTTTCCATCCTGCTCCTTCAAATTTTTTCGTCACAGTGATTGAAGATGAATGTCATTTTCACCCCACTAATAGAAAACTGAACGATCATTCTTAAAATGCAAATTCCAAACAAAATTCTACTAGTGTATGGACAGCATATGGCTATACACTCTTTTTTTCAGTCCTGTGGGCTGAATGAGAGAAATCTCGCCCCTACGGTATTCTGATTCTGACAACAGCCGACATCTGCGGCTGTTTGAATACCCGAACAGTGACTGCATCTCACTGGATATAGTCACTGTTCAGCTGACAATTTTCCACCTGGATCCTTTGATTATCCAATCTAAGTTTGCTGAGCAGGTGGTGCTGACAACAAGAATCGGTTAACGTTTGAGCAGTGTATAGCTAGCATAACAAGTCTACCACTGGGTTCCCTCTGTTCAAATGTAAAGAGCAATCAAGGCACTTTTAATAGCAGAGTACAGAAGAGTTATGTCCTCAGTCCGATGAAACCAAAAATCGAATATTTGTTGTTACAGGTGCCTCAAAGATCCAAAGAAACTTTCTGAGGTTACAGGTACCCCATAGACAGCCTGAACACCCTTCAAATCTGCAGAAACCACAGTTAAAGGATGACTGGTATTTACGAGGGGCATTCAAACCAAACTGGGACTTTTACAGGTATAAAAAGGGATGCTAGCGTGGCCGTACTACACGCGTAAATGACAAGTGTGTCCTATTACTGATAGGCAACGCACATGTCGTGGGCCAGTCCAGAGACTATTAATCAAGATGGCAGACAACAGTGTCAGTGCATGCATGGAACAGCGTGTGGTGGTGAAGCTTCTTGCAAACAAAGGAATAAAAGCCGTGGATATCTACAGAAGCTTTCAAGCACAGTACGGTGATGAGATGCAGTAATACATTTGAATAGTGTAAACATTTCAAATATGGCCCAATGTCCATCAGTGATGATGCCGGCCATGGTGGTTCCCAGCCCACAGCAGTCATTCCTGTAACCATTCAGCTCGTGGAATGACTGATCCTGGATAATCGACACATCACCTGTCCTGAAATTGCAAGAAACAAATTTTTCTGTGGTCAGCATTTCAGTAAAGCAGCAGGCTGTCCTAGGATGGTTTAGGCATACTGACAAATCTTACTATGTCGAAGCTTTCCAGGCATTAGCTAAAGAGTTACTAAACGCACAACAGTAAAATCAGTCTGTATATGCAGTAAAGCATTATTGTTATACTCACTGTGGAACCTACGGGGTTAATCCTCTGAATTGTTTAAAAATGCTGTTTGATCCTGACTTCTCTGATCCTCCCCTTCTTCCAGTGCCCCCTCTTATCTCCTGATAAGCTATATTGTGTGGAGACACTCTGCACATGCTCAGTGTTGTGTGCATTGCTAAAGAGGTTTTTTTTTTCTTGGGAAAGTGCATGTGATCAGCAAAGGGCCAATCAGCACTGTCCACACAGAGGTCAGGGGTTCTACATCCTCCTAGAGCAGAAAAAACTCCTACAAACTTTAATCAGGGCTCTGCTGGACACTGATAAAAGTCACAAATCTGCTCTAACTGCTGATGGGAAAAGGTATTTAGTAGTTTATATTTACTAAAATAACTTCATTTCCATGTTTGTGTACTGTGGGAGACCAGATATAGAGAATGCAGGGTCCTTGGTTTAGATTTAAATGCTGGGATAAGTGTATACATGTAGCAGGGGAGTATGTCGAAAAATAAATGCAGTTTCCACTCCTTGAAATTTGTTCTTTTATTATATAAACTCAAAAGTCCTGGTTTGACTTGAACGTCCCCAGTAATATATGGGAACCTGTAGTTTATGGTGGAGGAGATGTCTTTAACCACCTCCCATCCGGCCGTTGTATATAAAAGGCCGGACGGTGGTACTGCAGGGTCGGGTGGCCTCCCCACCACCCTGCTTGTGCAAGCTCCCTGGGAGCGCGCAGCACCGCAATACTGGAGAACACAGTGGAACACCAATTGTCCTACGGCACCTCTCTGCGAGGTCCCGATCATGTGATCACTGATTGGCCAATGACATCATTACTTACTACGTGTGAAATCTGTTAATGATCACAGAGGTCACATGGTACAAGGCTATTCACAACAGCCTTGTACCATGTGACAAGCTGTGATCAATCAGTAGTTCCCAATGGTTGCATGAATGCAGCCAAAGAGAAGGAGAAATTATTGGTTTTACACCCATAAAGGCTGTAAAAGCAATCAGTGTAAAAAAAAAAAAAATCGTCAATCCCCCCTCACAAGTAGTACAGTGTCACACTAGGGTGACAGTATGTAAAAAAAAAAAAAAAAAAAACATATATAATAATAAAAATAAAAATGTAAAAAAAAAACGTTTAAAAATTATAATTTTGGTTATAAACTAAGTTGGGTTTTTTTTTAAATAAAAATATAATGGAATAAATTTTGGCCAAGATTTATGATGAAATATTATTTATTTGCAAAATGTTATAAGAAAAACACTTTTTTTTTTCAAAATTTTTGGACTTTTTCATTTACATAGCAAAAAAAAAATAAAAATCCCAGTGGTGAATAAATACCACCAAAATAAAGCTTTATCTGTCTCAAAAAATGCAAAAAACTTCATATGGGTACAGTGTTGCATGACCACGCAATTGTCATTCAAAGTGTGATAGCACTGAAAGCTGAAAATTGGCCTGGACAGGAAAGGGGTAAAAGTGTCCGGACTGGAAGTGGTTAAGACAACATCTGGAAAAGGAGATGGATGGTTTATTACCTGTCATCTCCTCTACACCTTCCTCCTTTACCTCTGGTAAAAGCAGCACATGGGTGCCTTGAAAATGCAGAGTTAAGAAACTGTGACAGTTTAATGACAGTACTGGAGACTTGGCTGAAAATCTTTATCTATTGTCCCTGCTATGTCCCCAGGGAGTATTACACAAATGTATAGTTTCATCACCTGGGTGGGGATGGTGATTGTCAATCTGAATCATCAATTATAGGCAACACAGGATGTGGAAGGTGTGGATGGAGGTGCATCTATAAAACTGCTGATAAAAATCACAACTGTTCTCAGTGCAGTATCCAGAGATAGCTCATTACAGTATATTACAACAGTTTATTGCAATGATTGTTTAATATTAGAGTAATTGTTGGTCTTATATTGTCCTGAACTCAAAAGAACCATGACTAAGCATTTGTAATTTTAGTGGGTGCTATATCAGCGTATGTTAGAGTTTAAAGGCATAAGCCAAATTTTATTTCATTTTTATTTTAATACTTTTTCTCTTTCAAGGATTTGTTTTTATATCTTTTGTAAAAGATTCTAACTGAGCATACAACTCATGGAGTATTACTGAGCTTGTACTAGAGTATAGGTGGTTTTACCAAGGCCAAATGAATTGACTGGTCACAGGAAAATGGAAGGGAATAAGCTTCTAGATGTTCCCAGTGCCAGCTGCCATCGAGGGAAATAACAATTCGAACAAGTTTTCCAACCTGTGTAATCATTGGTTCCACCCAAAAGTAGTCAGCTGGGCAGTATCTGCATGCAATCATTGTCTAATGCAGACTAAAATGGGAAGAACCTACAACTGTCATCTCATGTCTATCAGCATCTTAAAGCAAAAAATAAAGTGCAGATACGGAAATAAAATGACAGCTTTTTAGCTGTAGTACATCACACATGTGACTACCACTGGCTACTTTGTTAGAGTCTGTAAACCCTATGGGGTTTATTTACTAAAGCTGGTTCCCTCAGAATCTCGTGCACCTGTGCATGGTAGTCAATCAGCTTCTAACCGCAGCTAGTTCAATTAAGCTTTAGCAATAAAACCTGGAAGCTGATTGGTTTCTTTGCAGAAGTGCACAAGATTCTGAGTAAACCAGCTATAGTAAATAACCCCTGTGTGGATTACCATGTGAGCAAGCGGTTATGACCATTTCTAGGAAAGCGTGAAAGTCAAGCCTAAAATATATCAAAGCTATTGACAAGTGATATTGTGACGCCTACATGTACCTATGCTAGTCTTCTAATCAATTACTGTTTCCTTCGGATCCAAGGTTTAGTCTGCACATAGATTCTTTTATTTCTCTCAAGCTGCAATGGATTGGCCCCCAAAGGTCTAAGCCTCAAATCATGGCAAAACCACTGCCCACTGAGGCTCTGACATAGGACAGCTAAATGATGAGTATGGGACTTAGCATCAGTTAGGTTCAGAGTTTAATTGCAATTGGAGAAAACTCAAGGGGACCTTTATTAACGCAATTGCCTCCCAAATCAGCTGATAGCAATAGTATTTTGCATGCAGGTATATTACCATTAAACTTTGGGTTTGTTTTAAGACCAAAGGAACAGTTGTATGTTTGCATGATTATGCAGCCAAAAAGCATCTGTCTGCCTTCTCTTCTCGGTTGTGCTGCAACTTTGAACACTTTTTAATAATGGAATTCAATAGAATTCAACATCAGAACTGTCGCAGAATCAAGAAGCACTTTTTAAATACATGCAGATATGTTTATAGTGACTAATTATTTATGCAAGATGTGTATAAATAAAAAATATGTCTCTAAATTGCATTTAAAAAAATGGAGCAACAGATTAACAACTGCAAGCAAAAAAAAAAAAAAAAAGGACAAAGATAAAGAGCTTTTAACATTACATTTGACTATTTGACTGAGCCTCTTGTTTTTTTTTAGCTGGAATTCTCCTCAAACAAAACATATAATTAACCAAGAAATTAGTCTATTCTTCTTAAATAAGTGTCATTAGTTTTTACAAGTAGCCGTTTTGCATTTTCTATTTTTATCTGCTCCACCCGCTCTATAAATGTCTCAGGGATTACTTTAGCTGTAAAAAGACTAATCTGTCATAAAAAAGGAGCAAATTTATTGACCTGGAATCCCCAAACCCACATCCTATAATTGTACATCAGCAAGAAATTTAAAACGGTCGAAAAACAGCAAGATTACCCAATGCAGTCCACTGTCCTGAGCTGGAAAGAACTTTTATATGGGAAACCACATTTGGATCCTGGAAAAATGCCTGAAAATAAAGATAATTTTTTTTTAATGCTGTGCCAGCTCATGCCAAACTAAAAGGCAGAACAAACACAAAGGAAATGTTATGTGATGCACAGAATAGTGGCTCATAGTAAACTTTAGCTTGCAGTAGTCTGAATGTAGCTAAAAATTGGTTTCTGTTTTTACTACTCTTTGAATTATCATATTAAAGTGACCCTGCCGGCACCTGGCTATCGTAGGAGAAAGCTGACAGGGGAAAGACCTGTGTGTAAACAACACAGGCCTCTCTCCTGCCAGCAAGGATATACGGCTTTGTATTTCTCTGCACAGCAAAGCAATACAAAGCAGCATGTCTCCCTAGTAAAACACTCACACAGGACATAATTAAAACAGCACACAACTCTTTGATCGTCCCAGATGTTAACCCCTTCCTACCCAGTGTCATTAGTAGTGTCAGTGCTTTTTATTAGCACTGGTCACTATATTAGTGTCATTAGGATATCAGTGACAGTTAGTCGGTTACTTCCCCCCAGTGTCAGAATGCCCACTGCAGTCCCACAATAAGTTGCTGATTGCCGCAATTACTAGTATAAAAAAATAAAAATAAAAATTGCAGTATATATACCGCCATTTATAGCCACTATAACTTTCACATAAACCAATTAATTTACACGTATTGGGATTTTTTTTTAGCAAAGACATGTAGCAGAATACTTTATTATATAAGTGACAATGTATTTACAAGATCCTCCAAAAAACAATAAATGTGAAATATAATCCTTCAATCACCTTAATCCCCAAAAATTTGCAAATAAACATATATAAATCCACTACAAATATAAAGTGCACTAAAATTCCTTTTCAAGTCCACTAAAAAAATCCAATCAATTCTTCCAACGATATTCACAAAGTGTCCACCTCAAAAAAAAGAAAATTCATATAGTGCATTACCTTTTATAAAAATAAATATATTATAAAAAACTTTCATATACTTCCTACAGTGAATATAAGTGAAAAATAGTGAAAAACGTGAACCAAACGTGAATCAGTAAAAAACAAATCAGTGTATATAACACTCTTTTAGTGCCACATCAAAACCAAGACAAATTCAAATAGTGTGCACTTCTATTTGCAGTAAGGGTACCCTTACCAACCATCCCAATATAGTATGCTTATAATATTCCAGGAACTCCACAGGCTAGACCTCTTAAGGATCTTTCCTCTGATGTATCCTGTTGCCACAACACTCTCTGGACTCCTCAGACACTCTGCTCCCAGTGTCTCCAAAAAAACATATAGAACATAGTGTATTACCGCCAATCTAATTTACAATATGGACTTTATTCGGAACTGCTCACATTGTAAAAGCTTTTAAAATCTCATATTTAAGGAGTAAAGGAATCTCACGGTCATCCAGGGAAACGTCCAGGTGCACCTGCACGATCTTTCCCTAATCCAAAATGGCCGTCAGTCAACTTCCGATTGATGGTGTTGTAGGGTAATTATAGTACTAAGGAGGTGGTTAATTTATGATTATGTAGCAGAATACGTTTTGGCATAAATTTATGAAGAAATTAATTTTTTTTTTTTACTGGATATGTTTTATAACAAAAAGCCAAAAATATTGTTTTTTCTTTTCAAACTATAACACATCTTTTTTTGTTTATAGCGCAAAAAATAAAAATCGCAGAGGTGATCAAATACCACCAAAAGAAAGAAATCTCTATTTGTGGGAAAAAAATGACATACATTTCATTTATGTACAGCGTTGCATGACCGCGCAATTGTCAGTTAAAGTAACGCAGTTCAGTATAACAACAAAAAATGGCTTGGTCAGGAGGGATGGGGGTGTAAATCCTATGGAGGGCAAGTGGTTAAAGCTTATTTCCAGTAATTTCCAACACTCCAGTTTAAAATATAATTCCACAACACAATCATTTATTCCTGGAGTGATGATCTACGGTCCCTTTGCTGGGGTCCTTCTTTAACAGATACAGTGATGGCGGTGGGGTCCCTCTTTATCCTCACCATTGATGATGATAGGGTCCCTCT